CCCTGACCACTACATGCTGCACATCTAAAAGCCTTAAAGACAGAGAAGATCCATCCTCACAGTTTGCTGCAGCACCTGACTCACAGCAGGGAGATGGTCAAGACCGTGGAGGGACAGAATTGCCAGTCGCCACACAAGATACTGGGGAGATCCAAAGCTCTGCTCCAGGAACAGTGGGCAGACCACCACCATGGGTAGGACCCTAAGCACAGTCCCAGCATCAAATCTCTTCCCACAAAGGCACTGATGATGGGAAAAGACTCTTATCATCAGAATGGTACAGCTGAGGGGTTGGCAGAAGGCAGAGACAAGAAGAGAGGAAGAGAGAGAGATGGATGGAGAGGAAATCAGTACAGAGAACAGAGGACCTACCTGCTAATCAGACAGGGGCAGTGCAGGCTTAAGGGCCTAGACTCAGAAAACCCAGGGTCTCAGTTGACAGCCATGGCCAACTGGCAGGAGAGTCTCTAACAACACAGTCTCTCCAAGCCCTCAGTTCCTTCATCTATGAAATGCAGGGGTCCACACCATGCTGGTGTCCCTCCCTGGGATTTCCCTCAGAGAAAGAACGACTCTTCCTTCCGTTGACCCAGGCACCCTGCATGGCAGCATGCTGCAGGCTCTCGGCAGACATTCACGCGATAGAAGGACAAGGGACAAGCAAGAGTGTTAGGAACAGTCAAGTCCTAACAGATGGCAAAGCTTCACTCTGCTTCTCAAAGCATGCCAGGGTTGGGGTTTGGGGGTACAGGGAGGGCTTTGAAGATGAGGCTCTTTATGCATCACTTTGAGTGTCCAGCCCAAACTCAGTGCCCTCAAATTCAGTCAACCCAAGAAAAGATTCCTCAACCATGTCCCACATGCACCTGCCACAATTCCCCAAGACCCGGAGCCGACCATCAAGACATGGGCAGCCTCGGGAAAAAGACCAGATGGTCATGGAAGTCGAGTGCTGCTTCGGGAGACTGAGTGCAAACCCCTGGGGAGATCACAGGAACTGAGTAGTGCAAAGCCTGGCTGCTGAAGACCATGACAGTTACCATCCATGGTAATAACTGCGGTGGTCATGCAGCTGAGTGGCCGCCTGCTAGACGCATGGGCCTGAGAGAGACTCTCACAGACTTCTGTCTTCGGGGCTGGGTCTGGCCACTGTTCCCTGCCTCTGCACAGCCCATTGCGGGCAGCACTGGGGAAAGCTTAGGAAGCTCCATGTCACCTGCGGGTGCAGCTGTGGCTGTGATTGCTCAGTGACAGATGTTATCAGAAGAAATAAAATTAGGCACATTTTCCCCTCCACTGACGAATCCCTCCTCTACATGTGCCCTCTAGTATTGACATTAATTGAACTCTAAAAATAAACGCTTAGGTCAAATGCAATTCACCAAAAACCTCAATACGAAACCACAAGAAACAAGTAGTAAAAAGTGGGCCCGTACTTTGAAAAGACCTTTCTGTTTCAAGTGCAGAGTTCCGAGTGGGCCGGGAGCTCTTTCACCAACGCAGACAGTGAGTACCGGAAGCCACCTTCACACAGGCACCCTGCAGCTATGCATGGGGACTGGCTCGGGTCCATAAGCTGTCTGAAGGCCTCTCGACAAAAGCCAGAGAAGACTGACATGGGAACAGCAGCAAGGCGGCCAAGAGATGCTCCCAGGGAGGCCAGGAGCCCAAACCAGCAATGGGGGGGGGGGGGGGGTGGCGCAAAGGGAAGATTCCAGGTGTCTTCGTCTGGCTAGTACAGAATGCTTGAGACTGGGTGACTTATAAAGAAAAGAGGTTTTTCAGAGCCTGGTTCTGGGGGATACAAAGCCTGCCATGTGATGGCCATAACTGGTGGGCTCTGGTGGGGGCCTCATGGCAGAAAGGCAGGCACAGGTGGGCAACAGAACTCTCACAGCAGCAAACCTGTTCCCACAAGAAAAGCATCAAACCACTCACAAGGGCTTCACTGCCATGGCCTACAAACCTCCCACTAGGTCCCACCTTGGAGGCTCAGGGCCCCACTCGGGAACTCAAACCACAACACCAACTGATGAAAAAGAAGCCCATCTAGTCTGCATGTCCAACGAGGGGCCAGAGTGAGAGGGAACAACACTGGAAGGAAAAGCAGGTACAGGGGCTCCTGCCACTCCCTTTCACTCCTTTGGGCCAACTCTAGTCCTCATGGTCACCCAAGTATTGGTCACTTTGCAGCTGAGAAGAGAGAAGTTGGAGATCTGTAAAGGTCTTGCCCAGGGTCACACAGGAAATGTAAGGTGGCGCTGGGGTGGTCTCCAGGTGTCTGACTCCATGCTCCTGGTACCTCTGTTCCATGGTAGGAATCGCACCACGGACCAGGCTCATGTATGGGCAAGGTGCAGATGCCTTTCTATTGGTGTGTGGTCCAGGTGCTGACTTCTAGGCTGGGTGCAGATACTTCTAGGATAAGCAGATCCGCATGCACAATGCTAACGTTTAGGTCTTTCTCATGCCTCTGTCACAGACCAGCCCTGTCCCAGTCCTCTCTTAGGATTATGCGCCTTGGATTCCGAGCACCTGTCTCAGCTCTGTCTTTCCAGTGTTCACACAAGGCAAGCAAGACTGCTCATTTCCATAGCCGGGGCATCAAGGCTCTCAGAATCAACCCTGGTGACCAGAGTCCCTTCTACCCTTTCTCCCCCGCCAAGGTTAATAGTTGCTTCCAGCCCTCCTGATGCAGTAGGGAATGGTGACTGACAGAAATGTCTGTCGCCCTGTTATGTTCACTCCTGCCCCCAAAGCTAACCACCTGGCCCAACACTCAAGGACTGGTGGAGCCTTTGATGGCTGAAGCCACGCAGGCAGTGCTCCTGCAGGAAGGCCCATTAGAGGTACATGTTGCAGAGGAGAGTCAACAGCCCAAGTGGGAAGTGAGATGCTAAAATGAAAATGAAGAGGAGATGTGTGTGCAGGAAGCTGCAGAGCACAGACAGTACTCTTGCCCTCTAACTGGCAGTTTGGCTCCTGGTAGGCCTTACTCCCAACCATCACTCAGCAGCTGCAAGAAACAGCTCACTCTCCAGGCAACTGCCCTGCATGGGAGAGCCCTCTACGTCCTGACATACACGGTCGCCCCTCTGCATCCATGGGTTCTGCATCCATGGAATTAATCAACCATGCATCAAAAACATTTGGAAAAAAAATAACTGCATCTGTCCTGAACACGTACTCCCGAATCAATACAAGACAACAACTATTTACACAGCAATTACACTGTATTGAGCACTGTAAGTAATCTAGGCGTGATTGAAAGGATATGGAAGGATGTGCATGCACTAAATGCAAATACTATGCCATTTATGTAAGAGAATTCAGCATCGTAGATTTAGGTATCTGCAGGGGTCCTGGAACAAATCTGCCACCCATACCAGGAGACCACTCTACTCAGTACATGTAGGGCACACCAGGCGTGTGTGTCTTCCACCGTGACTGGAAGGCAACTGTTCATCTCTGTGTCTCAGGAACGGCCAACACCAGAGCAGATGAGAGATACAAATGTACTTGGGAACACTTTGTATTTGAGCCATCATCTGCTGCCTCCCAGGGTGTGCATTAAGCAGGAAGCTGGATGGGAAGCAGGGGAGCTGGGACTCTGAAATGGGATGCAGGCACTTAGGAACGTTTAATAGCCAACACAAAAGAGCCCCCAGTAGCACAACCATAGCCTCATTCTCTGCGGCTCTCTCAGTGCTAGCTTCTTTGACTTTCTTCTCACCAGCCCACACTTTCTCACCCCTCTTTCTATCCTTGCAAAAGTTCAGGTTCATTATAGGAATCACACCGGGTTCTTTTCATGTTATTCATTCTTCCCAATATCTTCTTTAAAGAAAAGCAAACAACTGCCCTCCTTTCCTCTGAACTGGTAAAAAATGTCCTCTTTTGCTTATCTGTCTCCTTCCCTCTTCTTTCCCCGTCTTGACTCCCCCCCTTTCAATTTTTCATTCATTTGTTCTCCCAACATCCACACTGTGGGGCCCAAACCCGGGGCAGACACTGTGCCAGTTACTGCGATACATGCAGAGCATCCTTATTCTAAACAAGTTCACCAGCAATGCGGGAGAGAGGCAGGGGAGGCGCTAAGAGAAACCTGTACTGAGTGCAGCAGCCTGGGGTAACTGTGGCAGGTTGCTTGGTGCAGTCTGGCAGAGTGAGTGCAACTCAGCTGGGGGTAAGGAGCTGGGCATGACCAGGAGGGGATGCACAGGCTACTTTCCAGGCAGACTTGAGGTCAGGTGAAAGATACACAGAACAGCAGATCAAAGACTTGGAAGGTCTTCTACATAGTAACTGGGAGCACAAAACACCTCTTCCATTTTGCAGTATTTCTTCCTCCATGCTAAGCTCTTTACCATCTCATTCAAGACCCGCAGCATCTTCATGGGGGATCCACCAACATCTCTATTTCACAAAGTGAGGAAACCAAGGTTCAGACCATGTGAGTGATTTCCCCAAGGTGAGGCAGGTAGCAAAATTCAGAAGCCCCAGGTCTGCTTGAAGGCCAGCGTCCTACCATTTATCCCAAGCAGCCTCATGCTCAATGTGGTCAAAGCATGCAATTCAAAGAGGAAGGTAAAGTACGGAACAAACTGGGAATGGAAGAGGAGCTTCTATCATGGATGCCCCAAAGGCACTCTGATCTGATATATAACCTCTGCTCCACCTCTCCTCCTCTCCTCAAGGCAGCCTCCCCACCTTAGCAAGACGGCTGGAACATTCTATACTCTCTGTGAGATCAGAAGTGGGCTCGGAGATGGTGGGCTCCTTGCCCAGCTGGAGCCAGAGGGAGTACCCGCTAGGCACACAAGACCAAGTGGACTAAATGCTGAGTGCCAGGTCAGGGTAAGGGGACAGGAAGCCAGCTGTCCAAGCACCTGGGAGCAGCACAGGAAAACTGGTCAAGTGTTCCAGAACCACCACCAAACCTGTGTTGCAAGAAACCACATTCTGGGTTCCACAAGGCTCGTGAACAGAAAATCCCTCACCTCAATGCTCCAAATGCCAAATGTTCCAGCTTCTCAGCAGGAAAGGGCAGTGCCTAAGTCCTTCTGGGGTTCTGAGTGGACGCGCAGTTTTTCAGACTGAAAGTGTCGAAATCCCAGGTCTAACAGGATTCTAGAAATGTACAAGAGGAAAGAGAAGTATGAGTGTCAGGGCTCAACTTTAACAGGTGTGCCAATGAGATGTGCCATTCATTTGAAAAGTAAGGACTATATATTTACTAGATGCTAAATGCGAAGTACCAGAATAGCAGATGCTATTACACGCCAAGCTGTGTGTTGGACACTGTACCTACATTCAGCTATGTAACCTCACGAGACCTGCATTGATAGTCCCACACTTTGTAAGTCACACCAAGGGACCAGGCAGGAACTGATGGTTGGGTCCTTCCTGACCGCCACACACATGCCCATCAATCACATTTCCCTTTCCCAGCAGAACTCCACTCATCTGATTCCAGGAACTCCAGACAGAGAGGAAGCGCAGGTCCAGTGACCTCCTGCTGAGCATGCCCTGCCTGGGATACCCGGCTCATTCTGCACACAGGAGATTACGTGAACCGTGGCAGCTGCATGACATCACTCTCCTGAGTTTTATCCGCACTCAGCACCACAGTCTGGTAACACGTCATCAGTGGACATCACACGTTACTCAAGAAACAAAAAATGTAGCCTCACCGGAGATTCTTATCCTAGCTGGTACCTGTGATGGCTACATGAGGAAGCCAGGAGGGGTGGGGCCGTATGGAGAACGAGACACGGAGGCCACCTCTGGTCCTACCAGCCCAGAGAGAACGCCCTAAGCTACCCTGAAACAAGGCCTGATGCTGAGCCTCCGGGGCTCTGAGTGAACTGATCCTCCCATCCTTCCAGGGACAGTGATGCTGGTAGTGGCAGCCACAGGAGGCCACATTATCACATAACAAGAGGGGCCCCTTTCCCCTTCCATGCATTCCACCCAAGGCACAACACCCTGACAGCCACATCGTTAGAGAGACGGGGCTCAGGAAGCAGACTCAGAATCACTGATGCTGAGAAGTTCCAAAGAGGAATTTGCCATGAACTCTGAGGATGGCTGGCAAAGCATCCTTGCCCCAAGACCGACAGCAAAGACAGGCGGCTGATGTTTCCGAGGATTCCGTCTCCCGCTCTCCTGCAGGCATGACCTGGCTGTAACTTACTCCTCTGAGGCCCCTGGTCATCACATCCCTCCCTTGGAGGTGTAGGCATCAGGGACAGACAGACCCACATCAGTTGTGCAAGCCTAAAAGCACCTGCCTCCTCCACTTCAGTGCTGGTTTAATCCAGCCAACACCCAGAGGCCAGGTCCCAGAACAGTCAATTGTACCTTCCTTAGAAAGGTCCCCCTTGAGGGGCCGGCGCTGCGATGTAGCAGATAAAGCCACCGCCTGCAGTGCTGGCATCCCAAGTGGGCGCCGGTTCGAGTCCCAGCTGCTCCACTTCCCATCTAGCTCTCCGCTATGGCCTGGCCAAGCAGTAGAAGATGGTCCAAATCCTTGAGCCTCTGCACCCGCATGGGAGACCCAAAATAAGCTTCTGGCTCTTGGCTTCAGATTGGCCCAGCTCCAGCTGTTGCACCATTTGGCGAGTGAACCAGCAAATGGAAGACTCTCTCTCTCTCTCTCTCTCTCTTTCTCTCTCTCTCTCTCTGTAACTCTGCTTTTCAAATAAATAAATAAATAAATCTTTTTAAAAAAAAGTCCCCTTGACAAGCAAGGCCCCCAGAAAGCCATAATCTTGGCACCCATGCACACCCATGTTCCTCGGCGTCCTGACCCAGGAAGCACTTTTTGCCTTGTTGTCCAAATGCATTCGCTTCCTTACCCACAAAGGGCAGCAGCACAGTTCCTGGATGTGGGCTCTTACTAGATTACCTCCCAGTTCTGCTACTCCAAGTCTTTTTAGGAGTCTACACAAGATATTTAAGCTTCCTGAGGCTCAGCTCTCATGGTGAAGGTTTGTTCACGGTGCTGAGAATCTCTGCAAAGCTTAGCACTTGGCCTGGTACGTTGTAAGCACTTATGAATGTCAGCTGCTTTTAATACCACTCAAGCAAGTACTCAGGTCTTAGCTTCTTAGTCTCCTTCCCAAAGGGGAAAGAAAACGAGCTCCTCTTCTATCTCACCACAAGGACTTCCTCAGGCTAGGGCTTAGCACTTGTGGCCAAGAGCAGCTAAAGTCTGGGGCTGCAATCCCGGGTCCTCAGCTCAGGCCTGGCTGTGAGCGGTGTCAGTCCACACATCTGTGGAACACAGCAGGGGCGAACACTGTCCACCTCCCAGGTGTTATGAGATGAAATGAGACAGAGCATGAAAGGGTTACTCTATAAACTACAAATAGAATTCACCGTAACAGTAGCACCCTTCTTGGGTCTGCTCTGTAGAGGATGCCGTTAAATACTGTCCTCCCAGGACTCCCCTGAACACGCACAAGACCCCCCGAGGTGAGGAGACAGGTGCAACGGTCACTCCCATTTTACAGATGTGGACGCTAAAGCTTAGAGCGGCAAAGGGGGTTGCCTGATACAAAACAACGAGGACGTGGCTGATCCACTGTCTCCACTCCTTGTGACGGGGATCAGGGTCGGGGCTTGGGGGAACAGAGAACATGAGCCCCTGCAGAGGAAAGAACCTCTTTCCAAGGCAGCCATACTGATTAACGTCTTTAATTAATGTTATTACCCATACACACAACGTTCCATTGAAAGGAAGAGACTGAGATTCCTAATTTCTCCCTGCAGCTTCCAGTGCAGTGGTGAAATAGAGTCCTGGGCTGGCCAGGAGTGCAGGGCCTAGTGCAGAGCTGTGGCTGATGCAGACACCTGGCCCCGACCTGGCCAACTAAGCTACCAGCACTCTAAGGCTGCAGAGGATACCTTCTCGATGTTGACCGCAACAGTGGAGGATCACTGCTGGGGCCCATCAGTGTGATGACGTCTGAGAGGTCTGAGTGCCCTTGGCAGGCAGACTCAGGCCACCCACAACCCAGAAGAGCTGAGAGGCAGAGGGGGGGCCCTGCTCCAGCCTCTCAGCCGCTCTGCTCTGGGATCTGCCCTCCTCTCCACCTGCAGAACTCCAGGTGTGCTGGAAGTCCGAGGTCATCCACCCTCCGCAAAACGGAAGGCAGGGCAAGTTCATCTCCTCTCTCTAACCAGGTGAGATGCATGGTGGCTGCACAACCTGAACAGGCACAGGTAACCACCAAGAACGCGGTCTCTGCCAGAAAGGTAAGTGAGAGGCACAGGACATAAGGCACAGCACGGCATAAGCACCATTGCCACTGCCAGCCAGGCAGCCTCACCTTGGGCCTTGAGTGCCACATGGAGGAGTGGGAGGGGAACCAAGTGGGTGTGCAGATGGCGGCCAGGGCCGGTCAGTCGCTCGGCTGCCATGAGACAGCTGTGAAGTGACTCAACACACACACATTCCTGACCCGGAAATCATCAAAACACACGTCAGCCCACTGCGAAAAAGCACAGGGGTGACTAGGCAATGACAGCAGCTGTGGGTGGCAGAGGATGGGACACTGCCCTCAGGAAGCCCCCTTAGCACAGGCCACGTCTTAGGATGTGTGCCTATCCCTGGAGCAGGGCCTAGAAGTGGGCAGGAAATCAGATACGGCTGAGCCTCTCTCCCCCAGACAATCCACCAAGCCTGGCTCCATGCTTGGCTGAATCTGATGCAGTCCAGGAGGCCTGTGCACGCAGCGAGCTTGCATAAGCTAAGGGTACAGGTTAGCCCCCCACCTGTTACAATCTGGGGTGCTGCAGGCAGTGCACTTAACTGCTCTGGTCCTTGCCCATAAACCGGAATGAGAAAGAGAGAAAGAGCAGCTACCTCCCTAAACTGGGATTACCCTGCAGCGTCTGGCTCAGGGCAGGTGTATGACAGACACCTTGGTCTCTCACTGCTGTCATTTATTCCTGTTGCCTGGTAGGCACATTGGGTCTTAAGATCGTCAGTCCAGGACTTGAACCTCAGCTCTGTGCTTCCTGGGAAGGTGGCCACAGATAATCTGCTTGATCTCTCGATGCCTCAGTTTCTTCCTCTGCAGAACATCGAGGTGACCACAGCCTGACGATCACAAGCAATGTGATCAAGCAATGGTGTATACAGTATGAGTGATCCAGAATGAAGGCTCCTTGGGCAGGCACTGGGGTGCCCCACACACGCAGCCCAGATCCGAGTACCTGGAATCGAGCCCCAGAGGCAGCAGATCATGGTGGCTCAAGTCCTTGGATTCCTGCCACCCATATGGGAGACCTGGATAGGGTTCCTGGCTCAACCCCAGCTGTTGCAGGCACTTGAGAAGTGAATCAGTGGATACAAGATATTCATTCTCTAAGAAACTTTAAAAAAGCATGAAGCTTCTAACCCAGACTGAGGAACATCCTACAGACAACTTACCTGGACTTTTCAACAGTGTCAAGGTCAAGAATGGCTGAGGAACTGTTGCAGGTTAAGGGAAGGCAAAAGAGACACGGCAGCTAAATGCAATGGTGATCTGGAAACAGGAAAAAAACAGCCAAACAGGACATTATCGGGACAACTGATGAGATTGTGTGTGGCCTGTGGATTAGATAATACAATTGCAGCAGCCTGGGTTTCCTGAGTTTAACAATTACACAGTGGTTCTATAAGAGAATGTGCTCATTCTTAGGAAACACACGCTGAATATCTGGGCTAAGAAGCATGTCTGCAACTTACTCTCAAATGAGTCGGAAAAAAAAAACAGTGGGGTGGGGAGTCTGCAGACTGACTTAACCACTGGTGAATTCTTTATAATATCTTTGTGCTTTTTTTTTCCCCCTGTTAGCTTTACATTCTGTCAAAACACAAGACCAAGAGCTCAGAAGCAGGAGGGGAACAAACAGGTCTAAGGCAGCAAGATCAACCCCACAAGCAGAGAGTCTAAGTCTTTCTCATCAAACCCACATCACCTTCTCCATAAATGTTACAATTTACTGTGCAGAAAACTGCAAAGGATGAAACTGAAATTTAACATGAACCACCACCTCCCACGAAAAATAAAAACACGTAACGGCTGCCACTATTAAGAGACCCCAGGCCAGGCCTGGAGGACTAACGGGAAACA